CCCCCCCCCCCCCCCCCCCCCCTCCCCATCTCTCGCTCATAAAAATAACAGCGTCCGCGGATTTTTCGGCTCGATTGTGGGACGCCGTCACTGGGAACCAGGTCCACGAGTTCGTCCACAAACACATCGTCAAGACGGTGCACTTCGCCGCAGACAGGTCGAAGCTGGCCACCGCCGGACACGAGGGTATCCTCAGGATCTTCGACACAGCGTCCCCCGGAAGCCCCCCAACCGAGGTTTGTAAGAACTAGGCAGATTGTTGTTGCGAGCGAAAATTGGTCGTCCGCTACTGCTGCTGCTACTGTGTGTCGGTTTATTTTTTTGCGAGGTCAATGGTCTAACGACTTTTTGAGTACACACCACACACCCCGGCCCGCCCCCCCGGTGCAGATCACAGTGTTTCCCGGAGGAGAGGAGACACCAAAGGTTGCACGAGTAATCTCGAAGGCGAGGTGGGGCAAGGACCCCAACACCGTCTTGACGGGGTCGGCGGACGGGTTTGTTAGGGTGTGGGATATTCGGAGCGGGGAAAAGATTCGAAAGGTGCAGGTGGCGGGGGCGGTGATGGACCTGGAGATGTCGTGGGATAAGAAGATCGCCACCGTCGCGGCGGGGGACACGGTGCACTTCTTCGATACAGGTGGGGGATGAGGGGGATGTTGCGATCCTGTGCGTGTGTGTGTGTCTTGTCTATGCACCGACCCCGCTACATACCTGGCTGACCAAATAGATAAGAGTCTCATTGCGAGTGAAGAAACGGATGTAAAGGCCGTGTTCTGGCGGGAACATGTTATGGGGCGCCATGGGGGAGGCTACGCTATCGTATGTGAGAGCGGGTATTGTGAGGAACGGAGATGGAAAACGATAGAACCGTTCACAGCGCCCTCACACAATAAAGAGTCAATATTGAGACTGTCAGATGCGCCGTTTCACTCTTCAATAGCCAACCCTGTTTTACAGGAAAACTGACACTAAAGAGTGCTCTGTTGAGGAACCACCCACCCGCCCTGCAACGATGTATTTTCTCCCGGTTGTTGTCCGAGAAACTGATGAACGCTATTGGAAATGGGTGTCGGATGTCCTATGCACGAAATGAAGGCACACTCGTTTCCCTTCCTATTCACGCGGGGTGGCAACACCGACCCTCGTGGGAGGGGATGCCACTGCTGTTTGACCCCATGCTATCTGAGGGGAAGAACCGACGTGAAAATACCGATGCTTTTGTGGGTGTTTTTTTGCCCTCCGACTGTCGGAGGAGTTACATTTCCGGCCGTCAAAGCGCAGGAAGCGGGAGAAGCAACGGCGCGCACTCATGCAGTGCTTGGCTGCCCGCCCGGGTGCTTTCCACGCTGCAGGATTAAATTGGTGTGCGTTTTTTCTCGTCTGTGCGTCCCCTCCCTCCTCGTGCTTTGACCCAAATCCAACACACAAACCAGTCAAAGCCAAACTCTACATGCCTCCCTCTCCAACACCCCCGCCTTCTCTCCCTTCCTCTTTCTCTCCGTCCCTGCCGAAAACCCCCCTCCCTCTCTCCCTCTTTTCCCTCCCTCCGTGCTTGGGTCGAAGCAGGAGACTTGTCCGAGGTGAAGCGCCACACTATGCCCATCAACTTCCGCAACGAGGGAGGCGCCTCGCTCCATCCAGGGGGCAAGCGGTTCATAGCGGGGGGATCGGACCTTTGGGTCCGCGTGTTCGACTTCGACACTGGTGCGGAGCTCGAGTGTCTCAAGGCAAGCAGGGGGAGGGCGAGGGTACTACGATGATGCTATTTGTGGAGAAGGAAAAAGGCGGAGGAGGCGTATTGTTAGTTCTTTGACGGACGCAAACGATCACCGTACACATACATGCGCACATTTCGCTGTTTGCAACAGACGCACCCACGAACTCCCCCTCTTTCTCGGGCGCTACTACTGGGCCCTTGCTGCTTGCAGTACGTGATTACGTTCGGTCTTCCTCCCTACCCCCCCGCCCCGCCTCCCTTCCTATGCGGCAGCTAAAACCATACCACAAACCACCCACGATTTGTTTGTTGTTTATTTGGGCAGGGGCACCACGGACCGGTCCGGTGCTTAAGGTACGCCCCCGACGGAAAGACTTACGCGACGGGGTCGGAGGACGGAACCATCCGCCTGTGGCAGAGCAATGCCCCCGCCGCAGCAGCCGCGTCGGCGGCGGGGACAAGCGGTGCAGACGGCACCGCCGCCCGGTGATGAGGAAGCGAATCTGCCGGGCTCTTGTTTGTGGTTTCCGCCGAGCCAGCTATAGTGCACGCGCGGAAGACGATTGATTGGTACACGCGTGGTCTTGGATGTCTTGTTTCGTGGGGTTTCCGTGGCAGGGAGGCCTTGTCTTGGTTATTGTCACGTCGTCGCCGACCGCTCTCGAGCTCTCTTTTTTTTTCATCACATTTCGTTCTGTTGTTTCTTTTTTTTGTTCCTTTTTTCGTGAAATTCAGGCTTTTGGGTCGGGTAAAATCTTCCGTTCCGCTTTTTTTTGTTCGGGATTTGTTTTGGTCGGTTTCGTTTCGGGAGGGGAAGATGCGGGCTCCTCGTGAAGGCTATTCTGAGTAGCCTTCGGGGTATGAAGTGACCCCACCCACCCTACCCATGCGCGCGCACCACGGTGTGCTACGGACCAAACTCTTGAAGAATGGTCACGGGGAAAATCTACATGCGCCCAACCAAAAGCACTGACAGCACGGGTGGATGGCACCGCATCGCGCTCGTACTCCTACTCCCAGTAGGAGGGTGTCCATTTCCGTGATATCCTATCTATTGCTCGGGTTTTGTGTTTTCGATCGTTCAGTCGTGGGCGGAAGGGGGTGCGCTCTCGTCTGCCCTGCTAGATAAGACGCCTGTTGTCGGTGAGGATCCGTGAGTCTGGACAGTGAGTTATGCGGCGGTAGGTGTTGGGCTTGATCTGATCGGTCCATACGTGTGTGATACATGCGGGTGTATGTTAGAGGGACGGACGGGCCGCCGAATGCTGGACGACGAAAGGGCGCTGGAAGGTCGATGGACGAAAGGGAAAGAAAAAATGGGAGGTCTTTGATGATTCGTGCACGCCCTTTTGGGGTGAAATTGGTGCCGCGGTTGGTCGTTGCGAATGATTGTCTTCAATTTTCGATGCTGTCTGTCTGAATGTTAATGTGAAACTAACATCCACAGTCAGAAGAGAGGGAGTGGGAGAGAGCGAAAGTGAGACAAGAGAGAGCGAGGGAAGATATGAGACACACTGGGGGGGGGCTACTGGTTTGGGGCGGGGGGGGGGCAGATGTTAGCGAGCCAAACGGTAGCCTTAGCGGCGACGGAAAAGACGGCAAGAAAAATGCCGCTCCACCTAGGACAGCAGTAGACACTTGTGTCGAGACAAGACAGGCGAAACTTTCGGGGGAGAACGCAAGAGTGATGAAGTGATACCCGTTGCTCGGTCAACTTGGGCATTCTGCGGACGAGAGCCGAGGAGGTAATTTGAGCCCACGACATAACAGGGACGCGTTTTGTTCTTGCTTGCTTCGTTTTTTAAGACAGGAGGTTCATGCACTCGAAAAGCAGGGATGAAAATAACGGTACATACGTATACCCGATCCCCGCAATCAAGGGTCCCAACTTAATTGAGCAAAAGGTACATCGACAACAAGAAGAAACGCTCAATTAAGAACAAACGTGTTCACGGGGGTACCCGCAAAGCACCCCCCCCCCCCCCCCCCCCCCCCCCCCCCCCCCCCCCCCCCCCCCCCCCCCCCCCCCCCCCCCCCCCCCCCC